TGTGTGCGTACACCTCTGTGTGTGCACACGTGTGTTTGTGTGCACGTGTGTCTGTGTGTGTATACACCTCTGTGTGTGCACGTGTGTGTGTGTGCGTACACCTCTGTGTGTGCACACGTGTGTTTGTGTGCACGTGTGTCTGTGTGTGTATACACCTCTGTGTGTGCACGTGTGTGTGTGTGCGTACACCTCTGTGTGTGCACACGTGTGTTTGTGTGCACGTGTGTGTGTGTGCGTATACACCTCTGTGTGTGCACGCGTGTGTGTGTGTGCATACACCTCTGTGTGTGCACACGTGTGTTTGTGTGCACGTGTGTGTGTGTGCGTATACACCTCTGTGTGTGCACGTGTGTGTGTGTGCGTACACCTCTGTGTGTGCACACATGTGTTTGTGTGCACGTGTGTGTGTGTGTGCGTATACACCTCTGTGTGTGCACGCGTGTGTGTGTGCATACACCTCTGTATGCACGCGCGCGTGTGTGTGTGCGTACACCTCTGTGTGTGCCGGGCCCAGCTCCCTGCTAGCCTGGGAGGGAGTGTGCCAGCAAACGCTCTGTGTGGTTCTGGATCTTACCCGAGCCGCTGGATGCCTTTTAGCACCTTCATGGCAATGCCCTTGGACGCTGAGTTTGGGCTCGGAGCTACCGCCCTGCTCTAGCCCCCAGGCAGCTCCCCCTCCCTCTCCCCATAGCGCCCCTGGGAGGCAGGGCAGGGCTGTATCCCACTACTGCCCAGCGACTTGGCCCAGGCCACCCAGGAAGCTCTGGCAGAGACGGGAACTGAACCTGTCCTGAGGCCCAGGTTAGTGCTCTAACCACTAGGTCGTTCTGCTAGACAACCCTTCCTGGGTGCAGTGACTTCACCCACCACTGAGATGCATCCACCTCTGAGCTGGAACGTGGCAGCTGTTTGCAAGCAGCACCGTGACGCTGCCCAAAGGCGCAGGGCAGGGAGTGAAACACGCTGGGTGAATCCGCTCTTGCTGCAGTGGCCAGACTCTATGGACGCAGCCCTGTGCCTGGCGTGAGCCCTCCTGCCCCCGCTGGGCAGCCGCCGCTTTCTGCACTAGTCACGGGGGGTCTCGCCAGACTCCCAGGACAGGTGCCAGTCCCCCGGGAGAAGGGGCAGCGCGGGTGGCACGGGAGGGATGGAGTGGGGCGGGGGGCAGCTGTACCCGGGGCCATGGGCACCGTGCGTTCAGTCTAACCAGGACCCGGGCAGGGCGTGAGCCACACAAGGGGGCTGTTAAGTTTTACAATCTCTCAGGGATGGGCTGCAGCTGCCCGTGCCACCACTAGGGGGTGCTGCTGGTGTGTACAGTGCGGTATGGTGGCGAAAAGTGACTGAGCCGGGGGGGGGGGGAGCGAGGCCTACTCTGGGCTCTGCCGGTGACCTTGGACAAGTACCTGCACCTCTCCGTGCCTCAGTTTCCCCTGATGCCCCTTCTTTAGTTAGATTGTGAGTCCTGTGAAGCAGGGACTGTCCCGCACGGTGCGTCTCTGCAGCGCCCAGCACAAGATGACCCTGCTCCTGGTTGGGGTCACTGAGGAACTGGGCGCGATAGATCCTTGATATCAGCCAGGTTGGGGCAGTGCCCAGCGCGACGGGGCCTGATGTTGGTTGGGGTCTGGGCAGCGCCTGGCACGAGGGGCCTTGATCTCAGTGGGGGTCTGTGCAGCGCCCGGCGCAATGGGGCCCTGATCTCGGTGGGGGTCTGTGCAGCGCCCGGCGCAAGGGGGCCCTGATCTCGGGCAGGGTCTGTGCAGTGCCCGGCGCGAGGGGGCCCAGATTTCGGCTATGGGCTCTGTGTAATGCGAGCAGTTAAGGGTCACTCTTGCGCGGGTGCCAGGAATACTGTTCTGATCAGCTCCGGCCACCCGCCCCAGTAACCGCACGGAGAGCTGCCGGGTCACGCTGACAATATTTATATCCTTTATTTGCACCAGCAGGACCAGCCCCCTTGGCGCTATACAGCCTCGTTCTCGTTAGCCGGCCCGCGCTCAGTTCTCCGTGATTTTAGCTCCTGGCTCGACCCGGGGGACCATCTCCCCAGTCGGCAAAGCTCCCGTCGCCCCAGGCCTCGGCGCTGCTTCTGATTCGCAGTGCGGCAGCTGCCTGGCGCCCGGGGCTCCAGGGCGTCGCTGCCCGGGCCTCTGCCTTGCAGCTTGTGCCGTTACTCACCCCAGTGCAAACTGGGCGTAACCTGGCGGGACGCCGGTGGGGCTGGGCCAGGGCTCTGAGCTGCCGGGCGGGTGAGTCGGACTCCCTGCTCAGGGCTGTCAGAGTGGCTTGGCCAGAGAGCTCCTTGGTGCCCCCCCAACGCGCCGGGCTCTGCTGGCAATCCCGGCCCCGAGACACGCTCTGCAAATGACACCGGCCCTTTAACTCTGACGCCTCCGGGGCCAGCTGCTCCCCAGCCCCCCGCGGGGTCGGAAAAGTCCCGAAGGGGAATTTCCCACCGTTTGCCTGTAACATACGAACAGTTCCCTTCGCCCCCTCCCCGAGTCTCTCCCTTACGCTCTCTTCACACAGACTGGGGGCTTTCGCTTCCAGTTATTAACGTCATTGACCCCCCGCCCCCGTACTGGGCCGTGGAGCGCAGACCCTGGTCCCTGCCACGCCACGCCCAGCTCAGCCCCACAGGCGGGGGAGACCTGGTATCCCTGAGTCCGCTCCATGGCTGGGGATACGGTGGAGTGGGGGACGTAGCGTCTTGCGATTCAGCTGATCCGAGTAACGGACCCCATGGCCCGTCTCCGTTGCACAGACCCAGCGATCCCAAAGCCTGTCTGGTTAGTGTCGAACCGTTTTCACAGTGATCCCGTGGGTCCCTTCGCACGTGCCCCGTGCGGCTGCCTCCCCAGCTGGGGCAGAGCTGCTGTGCGGCTCGGAGGCGCCTTCCCCATCGCTCGGAGAAGTGGTTAGAGGCGGCCATTAACACCATTCCCCTCCCGGCACAACTGTTCTGACTTTAGTGTTACAGGCGTTTCCTGCTGGGCCTGGGGTCTCCCAGCCACCTGCTTCCCCAGCGGGGCAGAGCTCAGCTGCAGCCAGACGTCCCTCCAGCCAAGGACACGGGAGATTCCAGCTCTGGACGTCCTGGGGGTGTCTGCCCCGCTCTGGAGGCCTCCCTCCCTCTGATCCTTGCTCTCCGGAGAGCAGCTGGTGTGCGCATGGGAGGGCCCCGTGCTGCCAGCGAAGAGGCTATGAACCCCCAGGCTCTTGGCATTGCCCAGCATCCCGAGGGTTAACGGGGGCTCCCCGGGGGCGAAGGGGTAAAGCAGCAGCGAGGAGCCCCAGGGCTCTGGGTCCTGCACTCCAGGCGTAGACGCTGTGCTCCAGTTCAGGTGTGTTCTGTGTGGCCCCGTTCAGGCTCATCTGCTCGGCCGGCTTGCCCTGCTCGGCCTGCTTGGCCTGCTGCCGTCTGAGCCGGTATTTTCGGATTCTCGTGGAGCGGTAGTACATGTAGCCCCCCACGCCTAGTCCGGTCAGAGCAGCAAACGCAACTCCCAGCCCCAGTGCCAAACCCAGGATGTTGAGATCTGTTAAAAGAAGAACAGGAGTACTTGTGGCACCTTAGAGACTAACAAATTTATTAGAGCATAAGCTTTC